ACCATTATCCATATACAAGGAAAGTAGAGCAAACATTCCTTAGGTCCCAACCAAAAAAAAAAATAAATTCAGAGAAAATAGTTAAAACAGAAAATTCTTAGTTATTTTTCATATTTGAACTCTTGGTAAGAAAAGACTATAAAATAATTTATATGTAAAATGTTTTTATTGTAATCTATTATAATAAAAATATATTTTAATAATATATTAATTCAATTCCAAAAATCAAAACACTATGGTTAACATATTCAATTGGAGATTGAAAAATGCCATTTGAAAAAAAAAAAAAAAAAAAAAAAAAAAAAGATTGTGCCTAAATAAAAGTGAAAAGTAGAAAGTGCTGAAAAATTCTTAACCCACTAACCAGTTTTTGGGGTTTTTTTTTTTTTATAAATAGCCCTTGGTCATACAAAGAATTCTTTAATATCCTCTTGTATAATGAACACTATTTCCAATTATGTTGATATAAAATATTTCCTGGTTACTGTTAACTTTATTGAAATGGGTTGTCACAAAAATTGTGATTACACTACAGTTAGCAATAACAAGTTTAACAAATTTAGTTTTTTTAGTCAATACATGACTATTACTCTATCTTATAGCATACAGTTGTCAAATAACTTATCTTTGAAAATAGTCGAAAGAGAAGAAAAACACTTCAAGAAACCAAACTTTCATGACTTTAGTTTATATTTAAAATATATATCTTTGATAATGAAAGCTGTATGGTAACCAATTCACTATATTAGTTTATATTGTAAGGATTCAGTTCTAATTATTGAATTAAATATTTTTTCAATAAATTAAGGAGTTACAAAGTTAAACTTGGAAAACTACTGGCAAATGCAATTACTTTTTAAAAATAGCCAATTTATAACAAAATTTGACACTAGCATTTCTTTCAGTCTTCTATTATAAATAAAGATCTAAAATGCAAGTGAATTTCCCAGCATCATAAAGACAGGATAAATTTTACATATGACAATATTTTCAATGAGTGTGAAATTCCACAAATAACAAGACTATTTTATTCAATAGCTACTACAATGAAAGGCAATTATAAGAATGAACAAAACCAATGATAGCGAACTGGACCTCTTATAATGATCAAAATTGCAATATAACGATTTCATTACTTATCTATTACAGAGGGGAAGAAAAAGAAATTTGTCAAATAATTTCAGTAAGTTTTCAAAAAGAATACTTTGGATATAATATTGTATGTGAAATTTACCCAGTTATATATCAAATGAACAAATTTCATTTAATTCAGTATTTGTTTAGAAAACTCCAGTTTTTGGGTTTTTTTAAATCATTTTTCTACTTAGGAAGTAAATATATATATATATATATATATATATATATATATATATATATATATATATATATATCTGGTTAATTAATTTTTAGACATATTTGGTTTAAACCAGAAGACATTTTTACTGTTCTGTAGTTAACCCCTATCATTTTAAATTAGATTCTACATTAGCAAGCCATTGATTGCACTTTTAGCCTTCGCTTTTTAATCTCTGAAGTTGCTTAGCAAACATTGATTAAAACCAGATCTGGTCATTTTGGAAGAATGTCATGTAAAAACTACAGCTATTATCAAAACCAACTAAGCTTAGAAAGAAAGCTGACATGTAATTTACAAATGATAAAGTCTTCACTTTCAGTACTTATGTTGAGAATACCCAGTAAAAGAAATGATAGAACAGAATGAAGATTATGAGAGCTCTGTCTGAATAGTCCAGAGATAACTAAGTTTTCTTTTCACAAAATCCCATACTGTATGTCATATCAGACAGACATTCTCAACAATAGAAGTAAAAATACATTTTAAAAGCAAACAGTAGGGTGTTGCTTAAAATAAATCCTGTTTTGATATATGTGTGTGAGAGAGATGTATTTTAAAAACCGAAAAATCTTCATTGAAGCTTTTTTTTTTTTTATTATTTTAATTGCAAGCTAAATTTAATATTTCCAATAAAATACTTTGCTGTATTTCAAACAGAATTCAAATTGATTTGAATGATTTTTAGCCCCCCAAAAATTAATTTGGGAATAAGTCCTGGAAGTATCATTATCCGACAATTTGATTTTTGCAAGAATTTACAAATCTGTGCGTGTGTTGACCACAAAAAGACGTTTAAATTTCCCATAATAATTTATGGTCCCCGCTCCCTTGACGCAAGAAAAGGCAATTTTTAACTAAAATTTCGAAATAAAATCTGTGTTTTTCGTCTTAATTCTAAAGACTTTGATAAATCGGTGTTATTTTTTTTTATCGAGTTTAGGACATTATTCACTATGTACGCTCACTTTTTAACGAATCTTTGGCGGTACCTAAACATTACTTAAAAATTCTCAACCTGACCCACATCCCAAATTCTTACGAAACTCCAAATGTTTTTAGAAGGGTTTCTTAGTTGATCTGAAAAGCTTTCAGCACTATGATGCATCTTTTTAAGAAAAAGGAAGATAATTTAGATTGAAAATAGAGTCCTTATTAAAAAAAAAATAAAAAAATAAAAAAGTTAAAACAAAAGGTCAAGTGGTAACAACGACTCGATTAGTCATAGACAAGTGTCCGCTAAGAGGGAAGATGGACAAGTAAAAGCTTTAACTTATGCCACAATGCACTACACAATATATTATTTTAATATGCAAGATATGTAACGTGGGAAAATAGCAGTTTTCAAAAAGAAAACATGTACGCCATTAGTAGTTACTCGTCAGACACAATAAGTTTACTTTCAAACTGTACACACACGAAAATAACGTTTTTCATTTTCCTCTCAAGTCCGATCATAGATCGAACATGTATAAATCAGAATTAGTCAACTGAAACTAACATTTAATTAAAGGTATAAGCAATGATTCAATTGATGTAGAAGATCAAACAGACTTAGACAGGCTCTTTAATTGTGTGTGCATTTGTGTTTTTTTTTTTTTTTTTTAGTGTCACCGACAGACGATGACGAGACATCGTTGCACCAATGTGACATTTTAAAATCTGGTTGTGTAAAAAATAAATAGAAATAAAATAAAAAAATTAATTAAATAAAGATGCCGTATGTGTACACGTATTTTTAAAATTTAATTATCGGCTATTTAAGGTAGGATAAATTTGTTTACATGAAATGATGCAAGGTTGGTAAATTTTAAAATTAAAATGTAGTTTTTATTTTTATAATATGGTTGGCCAAGTAGAGAAACGAAAGAGACGAAGTGGTGGTATAATTACGAATTCAATGAAAGATTTTTTTCCCTTTAATTAAAGAAATACAAAAATCTTAATTATGTAAATGAAATCGTTTAAAAATGTTAATATCTTCAAATTCTTTATTCATAAAGAATTACGAATTTCTACTGGTTAGGTATGGTAAATATTAATAACTCAATCAATTACATGATATGAATTATTAGGCAGTTTATCAAAAATTGTTAAAATTAATCTTTTCGATGTCAGAATAAACAGTAAGTTCGTAATATTTAGGATAATGGAGATTAAGCAGATTTAATAAAGATTTGCGTGAAAAATAATTTTAACAAACAACGATTTTATTACCTTTGAAACTATTATGGTCTAATAATTAGTAGTGTATTTAATAGTAACCAGTGTATGCTAATGAATGATTTTAACCATAGGGGAGTAGTTAACTACCAAAAATGGTAGTGTTGTTAGACATCAAAAATTTAAAAAAAAAAAAAAAAAAAAAAAATGTATGGATGCCGGCAAGAAACCGGAAATAATGATATTCAATTTACTTATTTTAGAAGAACAAAAAGATTGAATCATGTCTAAAATAATTACGCATATGGTGACGGCGGTCAGTGACATGCAAAATAGGAGAAAGAAAAAAAAGAAGACAGTTCAGCAATCTAAATTAATTACACGTAATAGTTGTAATTAAACTAGAACATTCTCCCTCCCCATGCTGTGGGTGCCATTCCAATGCACTGATATACGTGTTCGGGTCAGCAATGAAGTATACACAACATGGATAATGAAAAATTAAAAAGTTAAAGGCCAACTGAAATGAAAGATTTGACGAATTTTTCAAGACTAAAAAGTTAACCGACATTATAAGCGTGAACAAGGAAAGAGAGAGAGTATCAGTATAATTATCAGTCTGTCTCAGAGTGAGTAACACATCTCAGTCAGCTGGAGGATGTGATCCAATTACTAACTTCCGCATATTATTTACAAATTTCATAAACATTTATAAACTAACCTGCTTTTCTACGAAATCCTGTACATCTTTCAATTCCCCATTTTTGACGCTCCAAATAAACTCGGTCATTATTAACGGATGGGAATCTGCCTTTACTTGTTGCTGATCAGATAGTACTGTACTGGAACGGAAACACGATGATTAAACGTTTGTCTAACGCGTTTTCACTTAAACCACCTCTGATTGGTTGATTATTCTTGGATTAGCCAATAGGAAAAGTTTACTTATAACTATTGCATTTTTTTAAATTATTTTATCTCACGATCACTTTAACAAAAATATAATATCTGTTTTGTTTATGTATATTTATAATAGGATATCTACTAACCGATAAATATTGTTTTAAATTTCTGAAATAAAAGACTAAAAAAATAAACACAAAAACAAGTATTAAACCACGCACTCTCAATCCCAATGAGAGAGAGTGACTTTTAAAGGGAAATAATTCTTGTTTACTAGACAATAAAAAGCTTCATCCAACCGAAACTCAGAAGTTTTATTCAGATCAGCAACAGAGAGAAGTGAAGTTTTCAGACGGTTAAAGAAAGGAAAATGCGGTTGGTGATTTTAGACACATATGATGACGTTAGTGAATGGTCAGCTAAGTACATTAGAAGGAAAATAATAGAATACAAGCCAAATGCAAATCGATATTTCACCTTGGGTTTGCCGACTGGGAGTACACCTCTAGGTACTTATAAAAAACTAATTGAATTTTATAAAGCTGGCAAAATTTCCTTCAAGTATGTGAAAACTTTTAACATGGATGAATATGTACAACTTGCCCGCGATCATCCACAGAGCTATCATTCGTTCATGTGGAATAATTTCTTCAAGCATATTGATATTGACCCGGAAAATGCCAACATTTTAGATGGTAATGCTTCTGACCCCCACAAAGAATGTGAACTTTTTGAGCAAAAAATCGCCGAGGCTGGTGGTATCCGATTATTCGTCGGTGGAATCGGTCCCGATGGTCACATCGCTTTTAATGAACCCGGTTCGAGTCTGGCTTCTCGAACCAGAGTTAAAACACTAGCCAGAGACACCATTTGTGCTAATGCTAGGTTCTTTAACAATGACATCAACCAAGTGCCCACTATGGCCCTCACAGTGGGTGTCCGCACTGTAATGGATGCAGACGAAGTAATGATTTTGATTACTGGGGCTCACAAGGCTCTTGCTTTGCATAAGTCTGTCGAGGAAGGCATCAGCCATATGTGGACGGTATCTGCATTTCAACAACATCCGCATACAACATTTGTCTGTGATGAAGATGCTACATTAGAACTGCGAGTAAAGACTGTAAAATATTTCAAAGGTCTTATGCACGTGCATAATGAACTGATTGAAGAACCAAAAGACACTGAAAACTCCCATGAGGAAGAAAAGTGACTTTTTTTTTTTTTTTTCATAACTAATTTTTCAAGAAAAATGACAATCCATTTTTTTCTTTTTCTAACTCCCAAAGCTTTTTTACTCTAAATCGAGTTAAGTAGCTTTTTTTTTTATTTTTAATTTTTTTTTTAGTCTTCTATATATATAAAAAAAAAAAAAAAAAAAAAAACACATTCCTTTAGAGTCCAGATGGATAAAATACTGTTTTTGTACCTAATTGGATTGATTTGGGACCTAAATTACAATAAAAAAAACTATTTTAGCACATTTGTCTTTGCATTTATTTTTTTCCTATTTTATTTTTTAGTAGCAACCATATTGTCTCAAACTGGCTTCGTTTTTACAGTTTATACTTTTTTAAAAACTGAAATGACATCAAGCATAACTTAAATTTTTGAAATTAGCTTTTAAAAGCTTATGAATTTTTCCTTCCCTAACAGTGCACTTATGGTTGCTACTTATTTACACTGTGTACTATCCCTCCTAGTCTGTTTTGAACTTTGAAACTAATCACTAATTTTTTTAATATTTACATTATGATTGTACGCATGTTTCACTGGACTGGAGTGCTTGAATAAAGGAGTCTGTTGTGGCGAAACTCCAAACGCACACATGTTGAAATTTGCTTTAAATCTTTTTCAGCGAACAGCTTTTAATTTCGATTTTTCACTTTTCTTGAACTTCGTTTGTTCTTTTGTTTGATTCTAAAATTACATTTTAACTAACATTTAAAGAAACACTCTCTCTTGTTATTGTCGGTGAAAGAAAATGAAAAAATATTATTTAGGTAGCAATTGTTTTTAACTTGTGCACCAACATCTACATTAAATTCTGTAACTCAATTGTTGACAAAACAATTGTGTAAAAAGAAAAAGTAGAACTAATTCGAAGCCAGGCTAGAATTTAAACATTTTTAAATTCAGATGAAGCCGCCGTCCAGGAGTAGCGCATCGATTCCTAAGTTACGCTTTTTACCTGTAATTTTTTGGACAGAATTTGGGGTTTTCTGCAATACAACAGGCATTGGGATCAGAATTTCTTCCGTATTTAAGAAAAAGGACATAACCTTCCAACAATGTAGGAATGTCCACTTTCGCTAAAAAAAAAAAAAAAAAACGCACCCTGATTTAAAAAAAGAAAAAAGCCCCAAACTTGATTAAAAATTTTTTGCATTGTCTAATGTTTGTAATTGAGAGAAAAGACCAAAGTATTTTTAAAAAAATTTTAATCCTTTCTAGCATGTCCGAAATCTTAGCTAAAAAATCTTGTTTGTTTTTTTGTTTTTTTTTTAGTAAGATCAAACTTTTCTCCTCCGCAAGCGTTCCAGATCGCGAGTATGAATTTATTTATAAGAAAGCATGTATGTAATCTTGGGTGCTTAATTTATATTATTTAAAAAAAAAAAAATAGGGGTCGTGGTGCCTAAAACAAAATTCGAAAGCCCCAGTCTCATTTCAACTCCCTGCTGCTTAGCTTATCCGACGAAACCTTTCTTTTTTTTTTTTATTTTTTATTTCCTTACACGAATTAATAATTTTTGACTATAACAATCGTAACCTCCCCTCACGCCCGTGCTTAGCTTATGAGAAAAAACTTTAAAATTCTAAGAAAATGATCATTTACAACTGCGAAACTGATTTGATAGCTTCTGTAATTTATTCAAATTAATTATAATTTTAAGTCATTCAGTTCTACAAATAAATTCATTCGCAGCATAAAGTTTTTTAGTCCTGTAGTAACGTGTCATCTTTTCCGTTTCAAAAATAATATTTAAAAAACTAGATGACAAAACAAACATATGGAGTGCTTGACTACTAATGTGAAACTTCGGCATTACATGCTTTTTCAGTTAATTTTTATTTTTAGTTTACATGCGTTTGCGGTAAAAATTGATTATATAGAAGAATTTTTTGTTTTTTAAAGTTTCTTTGTTTACTAGTATAACATTCCATCATTCAACAAACCATTCTACCCTCGCCTCGGATTTTCCACCTTCACCGCTGGCCTTGTTTAAAATTTCGAAATTTTCAAATCGTCCTTTTATTCAAGACCCGAACACTCTGTTTACATGTTTCACTTCACGTGAAAGCGCCTTTCGAATTTTTTTTTGGGGGGGGGGCAGCTGTCGTGGATCATAATGCGACACACGATACCTCCTAGTCGATTCCCAGTCAACATAAAGTCACTTGTGACCTACATCGGGAAGCTTTCGTTCACACATACCAGATATTGTGCTACTGTGCGCCAATAGAAGACCCAAAAACCCACATCAGAAAGATTCTTTAAGACTTAACCAGTAAAAACCTATCTCTAACCACAATAAAACTTAAGAAATTTACTTTTTAACATATCAAACTGATTAAATATCCTTAAATGTTAAGCTTTAATTAGTTTTTTTTACTTCTACAATCGCATTTCAGGTCAATAAATCATACGGTTTTACTTTCTTTTTTTTTATTAGAAGTTATAAAGTTCCCGGTTGCCAAACAAATACATTCACACTTCACAGTGAATGATTCACCCCGTGTTCAAACATTAACTTTTTTTGTTTAGTTTAATATTTGTACTTTTCTTATTCATACAACTACATAGTTTTTTTTCAATATGTCCAGTTAAAAAACAGTTAATTTATTGAGTAATATTCCAAAATCAAAAGCCTGAAAATACTGTTACCTTACAGAATGGTAATTTTTTATTACAGGAATTTTATGTTTGTTTTTTTAAGTATTTTTATGTTAGTGTTTTACTGTTCAGTGTTCATTATAGAATTTTCAGTTTTGCTGAAATAAAACTACCCTGTCTGAATTAAGTTTCAGAATGTCATTTTAAAACAAAATGTTAAGTCAGTTTGGTTTTAGTCTTTTATGTACTTAACAATATCACAATTGATACAGTTTTTTGTTAGGTGTCACAATTTGTTGACACCTCTAACAAAACACGTAGTCCTTACTGGGGATTTTTACCGTTTCAAAACTCATTCAAAGAAAAGGCGATTTTTTGTAAATGCTGAATATTAAAAAAACTAGAGCAATAGTTAATCTGCCGAATGATCCGTTAAATGATTAATCTACCCAAACTTGTGTTTCACAGCTCGTAAAAGAAATCTTTTTATTCTTTAACTTATTCAATAAAACATTTACAATAAATTTTATTTTATTGTCAGTGTTTTCTAAGCAAACACTTGAAAAAGTTACTGTCATCATAATTTTCAGAAAATGGGGAATGAAGTTATGTTGAAAAATATTTATGAAATAAAAAAATAAATGTTTCTTTCCATCATTAGGTCATGGATTTTTTAATGTATTTATAAATTATATATTATGGATGTGTTTGTGTGCTTTTTTTTAAATTGATGCATAATGGCCCCTTCCTTTTAGTTTTAGAAGAATCAAGTCCAGAAAACATAGTTGTGCCATGAAACCAGATCACTATATTTTTGAGAATAGTTTTTTCCTAATCCAGACACGTTTTTCAAGCTACACAACTGACTAAGCTGCTAATAAGATAAACATGTTGCTGTGTAAATCAAAAGGGAAGACAGGTTTGGTAGAGGGTAAAAGATAAATATGACCTTGACCTATAACATTGACAACAAAAAATGTTAGAAGTTTTTGACATACATATTGCTTTGGTTATCTTTCATCTATACAAGGGGGTACTAAAAACTTTTCAGCCTAACCAAAAAAGAGACCCCGTTCTGATGTTTAGTCATTTGGCCAGATTGTGAGAAGTGGATCAGACCAAGAACATTTCAGTACCCCTTTGTAAATATCAAAATAAAATTTTTATGTTCACACCTTGTAATTACTTACTATAGCAAAAGATAAAAATTCAGGTCACAATTCATTTTCATGTTTGTTGTTTATTTTATGCGATGTTCAGTATCTACAGAATGAGATTCCATGTGCTTATCTCAAAAGCCATTGCTAGTGAGTTGGCTTCTTGCAACATATACCTAAAATGAGGCCTTGTGCTAAAGTTGGCCTTATTCTAAAAGTATATATACTTATGAATTTTCAAATGTTAAAATTTCTTTCATGAACCATTGAGGCAATAAGTAATTATTTTATTGAAAATGAATGTCACTATAAATAGTTGGGGCTTCAGTAGTAAAAAAAGGTAATTGTTTCCAATACATAAGGTCAGAACTAAATGATAAAACTTTAAAATAATTTTCTTACTTGGATCAATAATTAAAATGGCTTCAAGTGAAATGAATCTATAGAATTTGAAGGTTGCATGTTTGGTGTATTTTATGTGGATGTTTATATGTAAATAAAGAGGAATCATACAAAAACTTGGATCTCTAACATGAACCCATTATTCATTTTTTATATAAACAGTAGTGAAACAAAGTTCTTAATGTCTTTTGGGTATGTCCATTTTTTTATTGGTCAAGGCTAGGGTAAGTAAGCATAAGTATTGTTATAATGGTTCAGCTCAAGTCAGCCTTGCATTGAGTTGGAATGACCAAACAAAAGGTTGATTTACTTCATAAGTAAAGGTTTTGGAAGACACATGCTAATGCTATGTGTTGGAAAGTGAAAAGAGAGTTCAGTTGACAGCGGACTGGAGAAACAAAATAGAATGCAATTTTGATGTGGTATTACATCTTGGAACAGAGAGACAAAGAGAAAGGAAGAAAAATGTTTCTCTTTTTATAGACTTCAACAGCACCACCTAACGGCATTTGACAAAGCAAAGTGGGGTAATAAAATTTCTGGTTCCTTTATTACTAGCACCATGAGAAAATGTATTTCTTTTTCTTTTTTTTTATTGTTCATTATTATTATTTTATTTACTGATTTTATTTCATTTTCCCACAAATCCGTTAGGTCTTAAATAAGACAATGCTTCATCAGCCCCTATAGAATGGCACTGCAAAATTACAAAGATAAATAGCAAAAATCCAAATCACTCTAAGACTTCCAATAGCAGCAACAAACACGGGTAGCACATGTAACTAAAAGAGAAAATAATGAGAAAATTAAGATGTT